GAGGATAATACAGCAAAAATGATTTACTTATGTCACTAGTTTTGGATATTAAGTTGTTTTGTGTTACTAATTCCCTGTCCAAATTACTTTGTTTTTTATTAGGCAGAAGAAGCTCAACGGAAATTGAAAAGACAAAATAGAGAAGATACAGGTATTTTTAATCTTCATTCTAAAAATCTTATGCCTATCTCTTACTTGTTAAACATTGTTTCCTATCAACTATGATGATTCTTACTTGTAAAATAAAAGATTTAAATATAAGCTTTCTGAGCGAATGTTCTTCTGTTTGAAGGAATACTAAATACGTTAATATAGAAATAGTCTGTACTGACTCACCTTTGGATTAATGGTTTTATCTCAGGACTTAAGACCTTTCCAGAGAAAAGAAAGGCTTTCCTTGGTACTGCTGCTATTTAAATAGCTGTTTTTATGCATTTGACTTTGAGAAGGCAAAATATGGCTTTAAGATGTAAACATTCTTTAAGTAAAGACTATCAAAAGTAACAAAGGGATTTTTTTTAAATATGTTCTATAAAAGAAACCAGTAACGAATTTATTTTCAGCACTTCCACCTCCAGTTTTGCCTCCATTCTGCCCTTTGTTTGCAAGTCTGGTTAACATTTTGCAGTCAGATGTTATGTTGTGCATCATGGGAACAATTCTGCAGTGGGCTGTGGGACATAATGGATATGCCTGGTCAGAGTCCATGCTGCAAAGGGTAGGTTTGAAGACATTTATTATTCATATTTTAGTGTTTTGCAGTAAAAGCAAAATACTCTTGTCAGTATCTGTACCCAGAAACATTAGGACAAACATGCACTGTTACCTCAATTTAAAATATAGAATATTGTTACTGTTACTGTGTCTGACAATGAAAAGAAGTGCCTGGCAGATTTTTTTATACCACATGATTGTGATTACTGCAGTCCCATTGGCCAATCTATCCCTTCTTGATTGGTCCTGGTCTTTATATATATATAGTACTCGATATTGGTATAATGTGTTATCTTTCTAATTTAATTATTTCCCAAAAAAAAACCTTGAGTTCATCAATATTCATATTTTGCAGTTGAAGAATTTGAGACTCAGAGAACTTATGGTCCTATAGCTAATAGGTGGCAAGTCTGGAACCTTGTTTGCATTTTACTTTATAGCTTTAATGTAAATCATTCTTACATTATTGCATTGAATTTGCACAACACCCCTATGAACAGATGTAACTTTTTCCATTGCGTAGACGAGGAAGCCAAGTTTCAGTGAGGTTCAGTTAACTTCCCATATTACTCAACTAGTAAGCAATGTAATGATAATTATTCAGTTAGTAGAATGCCTACTCTGCCTTATTCTCTGCTAGGCACTTTGTGTACAGTATTTGTAATCCTCAGAACTCTAGAGGGAAGCTGTTTTTTCCTATGTTAAAGATGATGACATAGGCTCAGAGGGGTTCTTTGAGGGGTATATAACTTGAAAGCAATAAAGCCAGGATTCAAATGAAGACAAGCCTTCCTCTGAAGCTACCATTCTTTTGATTATCTCAGCAGGCTCAAGTATCTCGTTGGCTAAGGTGTGTGTATACTTACACCCCCTCCCATTTATAAACATATTTAATATGTAAAAGCAGGAAGGTGCGGTGTACTGAGACTGTCAGCATTATGCGAGCAAAAGATTTGTGGGAAATGATGGAGAAAAGAGGAGTCAACAGTATTTACCATATGTGTACATTTGCTTTATGTCATTCAGGCTAAGCTAGTTCTTCCAAGTCTCTGACAACCACAGTCACCCTATGTGGAGGGAAAGATATAGAGACACCACATGTATCTCCTTCAAAACGTGGGGAGCAGGTTAAAAGCAGTAAAAATGCAAATACGTTCAAGGTAGTTACATATTTTCTTAGAAGCCTGGTAAGGAATATTTTGTGAGATATACTGAACAACTACAAATATCTTTATAAACTATGTGGCATTAAAGATAAAAGTATGTCTCTTTCTCAGATGATTAAGATTTAATCCTTAGAGAAATTGAACTAGGCGGTATCATAGACTGGATAATTACGTGATAAATACTTTCAGCTTTGTAATTATTTGGCCACTGATTCTTAGCAGATTTTTTTAAGACTAATATAGGTATAGAATAAAACTGAAAATTATATATTATATGAATTGCTGGTCACACCTGGTGGTAATTTTAGCTTATCCTAAGAATTTGCTGTTGAACTTTCTTCCTCACTCAAATATAAAATTTTGTTTTCCTTGCCAAGAATTCTTTATTAGAAAATGAACCTCAGTCTTTTAATGTAATAAAAATTAGTACTTTGAATTTTTTATTGCATTTAGTCTTTAATATAAGTTTGATTTATCTTCAATAACGAATGAATTCTTTTTGCTATTTATAAAAATACGTACTTGATTTTTTTCTTACTAAAAGTTACAATACATTTTATTTGAGGTGTTACATTTAATTGGAATGGCACTACAAGAAGAAAAACAACATTTAGAGAATATCATGGAAGAGCATGTAGTAACATTTACCTTCACTCAGAAGATATCAAGTATGTATATATACTTTTTACTAAACTAACTCAAGATATAAGTGATTTTTTTGTAAATAATCACTCATAACTTCTTTTATTTTATCATACAGATTCTAATTGGGTAATACTGAATCCAGATACTTGAGGCTGTATGTATTTATCTGTATACTAAAGGTGCTCTGTTAGATCCTAATATATTTTTCTAAAAATACCTAGAGCCTATACATACTTAAAACACATATATTTTAATTCATAAAAAAAATGAAGGGTCCTTAGTTTAAAATTGATATAGCCCATGCATTTAAAATCTAGGATTTTAAAAACATAAAGTATGCTATCAGGATTTTAAATTGTTGCTGTTATCTTAAGATTCTATAGTATTGAAAATAAGAAAATTAGCTATAGGGGATTAGATTATCATTTTATATAAAGTAATATGACTTTTATGGCTAGGGAGATGTTTTTTCCTAGCTTTTTATTTTAAAAATTTCAAACACACAAGTTGAATGAGTTGTACAGTAAACATCCATACACCTACCACCTAGATTCAGTAGTTAATATTTTGCAATATTTGCTTTTCTATTTACACACTTTTTTGAACTGTTTGTTGTAGATATAATATTTCATCTTATAAAGAAAAGCTTTTCCTTTTATTAATTTTCAAAATAAGCAGTTGGTCTAATAGTTACCTGCAATGGTGGCACTTTGAATCTTTTTTCTTTGTTGAGAGTTTTTTAAAAATGTTACTTATGGATTTTTATGTATTCAGTGTTTTATAGTCAGTTATAATTATTATTCCTTATGATATGCAAATTGTGCCAATTTTGGTCAGTGGGAGTTTATTTGCCAGCATCTGTGTCTTTTTCATGCAGCTCCATTTATATCTGAGCACCACCTCACTTTCCGGCACAAAAGCTGCCTGGACTCATCTTGTACTTTCCCTGCCTCAGACCCGTGATCACCCATTTGCTGAGGTGTTTTTTGTTTTGTTTTTTATTGTTGTTTTGTTTTGTTTGTGAGACAGAGTCTCACTCAGTTGCCCAGGCTAGAGTGCAGAGGCATCATCGTAACTCACCGTAACCTCAAATTCCTTGGCTCCAGTGATCTTCCTGCCTCAGCCTCTTGAGTAGCTGGGACTACAGGTGCATGCTACCATGCCTGGCTTATTTTTGTATTTTTTTGTAGAGACAGGGTCTCACTATGTTGCTTAGGTTGGCTGCGAACTCCTGGCCTCAAGTGATCCTCCTGTCTCAGCCTCCCAAAGTGCTGGAATTACAGGTGTGAGCCGCCATGCCCAGCTGGGTGTTTTTAAATGAATTTATGGTGGCTATGATAGGAGTTTGTGAATGCCTTGATTGAAAAAGATTGTTTCTGTAACTATGTTCAGTGCCATTTCTTCCTAAACAATAATGACTAAGAATACTAAGTTCTGCTACCAGAGTTCAGACAGAAAGTAGTCCTGTTTGCTGCTAGATCTCCAGTTTGTCTTTTTGCCCTCATCTAAGTAAGTGGGAAGAAGAAGAGAAACTGTCTTTCCCCACTGAAGACTATTCTTGGGTGCCAGCTTTTCCCTACTCTTTTCTCTGCCAGTATTCTATGGATTAACATTGTATTTTTTTGCCCTCTTTGGCCCCAGTGCTTTTGTTTTATTAATAGAATAACCACACAGAATACTCCTAATTTCATTCACTCATCACTAAAATATCAGGTTCTCTCTCACTTTCTCTTTCTTTAAAAAAAAAAAAATCATCATTTTCTCTAAACATTACATTCTCTTTAAACATTTTATATAATTAAGATACTGTATTTGCAAAGAAACCTCTCCCTTATCTAGAGTCAGATCCCTAATGCACAGCCACAGAATTTTAGATCTGGAAGAAAATTAAAAATCCCATAGTTCCATCACCTCCCCTCTTAGTAAAGGGAGGACATTTTGCCGGAGTGGCAGCACTTAAACGAAGAAAATCAATAATCAGACATTTCTGACTGCAAACTGAATCAACTAATAGTAGATTGAATGTACTCATGAAAATATGGACTTGAATTTTATGTCTTGTCTTCAAATAAAACAGTGAGTTCCTAGGGGGAAGAAATTTATTTCATTCTGAATCCAGCTTTTATTAAAGAAAAGGGCAGAGCAAATAGATATATTTATAGACATGTGAATGAACCCACATAATCCCAGCATCCTCATTCATTTTCCTTAGACTTATAAAATCTCAGGTAGGCCAATCTTTTTTACACTTTTTTGTTTGTTTCTTTTGGAGACAGGTACTCCCTGTGTTGCCCAGGCTCGACTCAAGCAATCCTCCAATCTCAGCCTCCTTAGTAGCTAGAATTATAGGCACATGCTACTGTGCCCAGCTCCCAGTCTTAAAAAAGACTGAGTTTTTATTTAATTTGGCTAGAGTTTATGTGAAAATAATCATTTGATATAAGAAGTCAGTTTTGAATGCTTAAAGAATTCTAGTTAACTTGTTTGTAAACTACAAATATGTTACATTCTCAAGAAGTATTGAAAGTCTCTATTAAGTAGAGCTGTAATCAAATGATAGGCAACAGATGTTATGAGCAACTGCATTTATATTCTTGTGCATAGGAATAAGCACTATGAAATGTTAGCTGTTGTTATTGCATCTTTTATTTTTCTGCCTTAGAACCTGGTGAAACGCCAAACAACTCTGCTAGCATACTAGCCATGCTGGAAACACTACAAAATGCTCCCTACCTAGAAGTCCACAAAGACATGATTAGGTGGATATTAAAGGTAAAATTTACTGCATTACTCTGCTTTTTGTGAGAAACTTTAAATATCTGTTGTTTATACATTGTGATAATGTTTCATAGCTTCAGGATAACTGATTTTTTTTGTAGACTTTTAATGCTATTAAGAAGATAAGGGAGAGTTCATCTACAAGTCCTGTGGCAGAGGCAGAAGGAACCATAATGGAAGAGGTATAAGAAGTAAAGTGTAATAATACCAAAAAATTGTAGCAAGTTCAGTATGAACAAATTAAATTTATCTGCAACAAGTTGGTAGTTGGTAGTATTCACAAATATTTGAACTCCAAGAAATGTGGCACTATTTATCTCTCTTTGTTGTAACAATTTTGGGGGGCTTTTATTTTTCTTTAACATGTTAGGTTGATTGAGTCATATCTCTTGTTTAAATAAGTGAGATTGTAGAATAGTTTTTAATTAGAATTTATGACAAAGATATTTCTGCTTTGGAAAAAAAATGTGTATTTAGCATCAAATGGTCTAATTGAATGAAGCATAATTTCAGAGTTCAAGAGACAAAGACAAAGCCGAAAGGAAGAGAAAAGCCGAGATTGCCAGACTACGCAGAGAAAAGATCATGGCCCAGATGTCTGAGATGCAGCGGCACTTCATTGATGAGAACAAAGAACTCTTTCAGCAGACATTAGAACTGGATGCCTCAACCTCTGCTGTTCTGGATAATAGGTAAAATTTTTTTAAAACCAAATTATTTAGTCTCTTGATTGGTCATTCTCAACCAAGGGCAGTGTTGCTTTTTTTCCTTATAGGTACACTTTTAATCCTAAAGTAACTTAGTAGAATTGATAGGTAAAAATTGTGGCCTCCAATTAGAAGAATTAATCTTAGAAATCTCTGCCTATAAAGTAATTCATGTGTACACCTAATACAATATTTTCTACCAAAAACCCTTGATATCCACAAAAGAATGAGTACACAAGGCTCAGTTACCTGAGTGTGTAGAATCTGTGTTGCATATTAGATTGCTATGACGATTAAGGGAAATGGTTTTGATATATCTGAAAAAGACTTGGCGATTCAAGTCATTGAAACCATGTGTTAATATGTACATACCTGGAGTCTGATATTTTATGATAACATAGAAATTTTTTAGGCTCATTAATTATATTCATAATCCTTTTATTACAGCCCTATGGTTTCAGATATGGCACTTACAGCATTGGGCCCCGCACAAACTCAGGTCCCTGAACAGAGACAATTTGTTACCTGCATATTGTGTCAAGAGGAGCAAGAAGTTAAAGTGGAAAGCAGGGCAATGGTCTTGGCAGCATTTGTTCAAAGATCAACTGTATTATCAAAAAACAGAAGTAAATTCATTCAGGATCCAGGTAAGTCATAGCTAGATCCTCATCCTCTCTGTTACTAATGACTGCCAGTTAGTATGGTTGGTCACATACGTGGAGATTTTATTAATCTAGTAATAACTGCACAGGCTTGGTGCTGTCTTAGGCAGGAATTCCCCACTTGACAGATGTGGAACCACTCCAGGTTATCATCCCTGAATCACATAGCTGATCAATAGCAGGGATTCAAAGATAAGTTTTTCTTTGTGATGTGACATTAATATACTTTGGTACTTTAGAGTCTTTTCTGTCCTTCAACACATTTGTGAAGTCCTCCTAATTTATTGACATGCTGAAATAACAGTAACTATTTTCTCATGGATAGAGCCACAGTGGAATCTCTTGAGAATAGTGCTGAGAGTTACCTATGTAAGAAGCAGTCCTTGAGCCAAATTCTGGCTTACAATAGTGATACTACCATAGGCAGGGTTCCCCAGAAACAGATTCTTGACATAGAGACCACTGTGCAGGACATTTAGGGAGAGCACTGGGGTCAACGTTTGTGGAAAGGAGGGGAAGAAAACAGATTTGGGCAAAGGGAGAAGTTGAACTATAATACAGTCCCCAGAAGTTCTCAGCCAACTCAGTGGGAGCTCTTGAGCTGGATGGCCCTCCAGAACTGTCCAGAATTGGGGTGAGAGGGCTCGGTTTTATACCCTGACAGTGAGTAGCAACTGATGTGGGCCACCTCTAAAAGAGGTGTGACCTTGAGTAAGGCGGTTTTTCCTCAAATAGGGATGACAGTTCGAGGATTCTCTTTCAACAGCTGAGGGGGAGTAAGTCATTTGTTCCTCCAGGGGGATCTGGACTGCACATTATTGTGTCCACCACAGATACCTTTATGTCTCCACTCTCAGACATATGTTCTATGTGCATATGCCTCAATGGTATCTATTCATAGTAAACTTCTTGAGAGTAGGAACTGTGTCTTAGGAATTTCCAGAGCACTGCTTTAGCCAGTGCGTTTTATACTGCAGGACTAAAAGCAAGTTTGAGAGCCCACGGATAGGGTTGCCTTCTCTCAGTAAGGAAAGTCTTCATAGTGTGGCTTTCAAGCACCCTAGGTTTTGAAACATTCATCTGTTTCATCTTTAAAAATGGTCATTTGAACTAGGTGCTTTATAAATTTCATTCCAGGACAAAGATGAAATTACTAATTTTATTTAATTTGTTACTTCCCAAAGAGAAAACTTTGGCTAGCTACAAGTGGATTTTCCAAATGCTTTTGCAATTTATATCATAAAAGATTTTCTTTATAAAGCTGTGACATTTGCACTGTTCTAGTACATAAAGCAAATTGAAACAAGTAATTCTTTCTAAAGTGTTAAGAAATTTCCAAGATTATACTAATTTATATAGAGAATTCAGAAAATTCCAAAAGAAGCCAGGCATCTGTCTTGTTTGTCTTCATTTTTCATCTCCTTTGAATATAAAAATTAGCACCAGAACAAAAGACTGAATTACATTTTTTTCCATCTAGTCTGGTGTGGGCTTAGATTTTTTCACTTTGGTTGTGGTACAGTGGTTATGGTTATTCACTGCATGAGTGTCTTTAGGCAGACTCTCCTCTAGGGAGCGCCCAAAGCATCTTTTTTATTAGAGATCATTGTGACCCAGCTGCCCTGAATGTATTTAACGCAGTCCCATGAAGACTATCCCTTTTACCTTGAGCTTAGGGCATGATGGAGGCAATTGGAACCTCACAGTGCCCTGGAAGTATGAAATGTTCAAAAGATTAGATATACTTAAATACAGAGTTCCAATTTCAGTTTACAATTCAGGGATGTTTAATTAATTTGCTCAGGATGATGAACATTGGAGAGTCTTGCTTTCTAAATAATCTAGGTTCTTGCATAAATCATTGGTATCTCAAATGAAAGGAATAAACTAGTATTTCATTTCATTTCAAGTTTACAAGTCCTTATCAAGGATTTTACAATTTAAAATTTCATATTTATTATAGGAAAATTAAATGCTTGGGTTTTTTTGTCTTTTGTTTGTTTTGTAATGCAGAAAAATATGATCCATTATTCACGCACCCAGATCTGTCTTGCGGAACACACACTGGTAGCTGTGGGCATATTATGCATGCCCATTGTTGGCAAAGGTAATTTATATTCTTAATATTAGTCAAGAGAAGCTTATATGAAGGCTCAAAACTGAATTTTTTAAATAGAGGAAATTCCATTCTAGCTAAAAGGAAAAAGAACTAAAGATGTTGAAGAAAAAACCGCATATCATTCCCTAATAACAAAAATGATTTGCTTTGTCATAGATATACAGGAGTGACTTAGAAACTTCATAGTATGTCAAATACATTTTTTGATGTAGCTTAATATCTAAGTCTCTTCTTTATCCCTTCAAAGAAGGAAGTGAATCTGTGTTAGCTAACAAAATGGATGAAGAAGAATTTTTACAGTGGTATAAACCCTAGAAGGGTACTGTCTTTCTTTGGGTTCAAGGTGAACAACTCTTAATTCTGAAGGTGTTAGTACTTGCTTTGTTACTTCCCAAAATTGTAATGGCTCCCTGTGATAAGATGAGAAAATCCTGAACTTGTTCTACCTTGGTGCTTTCTGTGCTTCTGCAAAACCAACAAATCAATAGTTACCATGTGCACTGAGTTACCAAGAACTGCCCCTAACAAGTAGCCACCGGCTCAGGGGAAGTGGCCCGACAGCAGTGGCACCAGGAAATTTCTTTTGCTGCTTTGTGAATGCTTATTTGCAAGGCAGTCTTTTTTTTCCCCCTCTTGTTTTAGAACTCCTTAATCTGTTTTGAGTATTAAAATAACTCAAAAATTGTGTTAAAAATAATTCTATTCATTTTAAGATTTTCATTTTTGAACTATTTGTGGAAACAAACTATTTCAAATGTTGAAGCTTGTGACTTTCATCGAAATAAATTACCGTTGTTTTTGATACCTCATGTTCTCTCATTGCAAAGGTATTTTGATTCCGTTCAAGCTAAAGAACAACGAAGGCAACAGAGATTACGCTTACATACGAGTTATGATGTAGAAAATGGAGAATTCCTTTGCCCCCTTTGTGAATGCTTGAGTAATACTGTTATTCCTCTGCTGCTTCCTCCAAGAAACATTTTCAACAGGTAAGTTTTGGCTCATAACACCTTATAACAAAGCAGTAGTTTGCTTTCAAGATAAAAAAAAATAATAAACCAGGAGGAGGAGCTCACTCTAGGTAATTGCATAATGTTTGAAACCAGATACTTTTCCAAACTTTTTATTTAGTCATTTGTTCTAGCAGACCTATGGAATATGATTTTGGTTTTTAGGAACAGGTCAAAATTTAACAGTTTCTTAGTCATAAATACTTTAGCAGCTATAAATTTCCTGTGTATTCATGAAAACGAAATATCTTCTTTATTTCTAGGGACCCTACTGTAAATGTCTCCCTCATACTTTTCAAGAGATGCTCAGTAAACTGATGGGGGATATGGGGCAGCTCAAACTGACTTTATTGAATACAATTTTTTGCAATTTACTGGTCAACAATAGCTTTAAAAATCAGGTTAGAAAATGAAAATCTCTTGGTATGTTTAAAATGGAAAATTTCTGTTTTATAATTTTTAGGATTCTTTCTGTTAATAGGAGTATTGGACATACTCATTTGAAATATGAATTTGATACTTTCTACTATTCAAATCTGAACTTCATTTCTCATTGTAGAATTATACTATTTATCTACCCTATATGCACAGATACTAAT